AGTGGCAGGTCTGGGGATGTATGGATGGATGGGAAGATGAAAGGTTAGTTGGGGATGAACTGTTAAGATAATGACTTTCGCCAGTCAAGACAGGAATAGAATGGATGACATTTGTCTGAACGATTTCAGTCACTGTCGTTGTACATGTTGCTATTAAATGTCTGATTTGCGAAGTGCGAAGTGTGAAATTGTGTTCTCCTATAGTGTAAATGTTCTAGTACGGATTTCTTTTTCTCTTTCTTCTTAAAGAGATCGGGGATTAATGATCTGATTGAATGGCTGACTAGTTCGGAAGCTTCTTGTGTCTGATATGTCTTAAGCCTCTCCGGCAATTCCCATATGGATCCCACCGCATAGCTCAAGTGGGTATTATGTGGGTGGAAGGAGGAGGGGAAACGGGAGAGATTATGATGAGTGGTTGCGATCTTGAATGTATTGTATGAGTAGAGGGAATGGTGATATTTGGTAAAGAGAAGGAAAGGTAGGTGGGATAGGGCAATTGAATTAAAAAGGTAGTGGAAAGATGGGAGGAGAGGAGGAGGAGAGGAGAGGAGAGGAGAGGAGGAGAGATGAGGGTGTGCGTGAGTGAGTGGAAGGAGAGGGATGAAAGATATGTCAGGGTTGAAGAACATGAGCGGATGAGAGAAAGAGAAATAGTGGTATGTGGGGGGTGGGTGATAATATTATATTATATTACATTGATTATAAGAGGGAAAGGGGGAAATATGGAAGAGGAGAAAGATGTGATGTCATGTCATATCATCATATCATGGGAGGAAAATGGAATGTGAAGCTGTAATCTTGTTCTTTTCTGCTTCTTGGAGAGGGAGGGAGGGAGCAGATCTGAGGTCTTGATAGGGAGGTATTGAGATCTGAAGAAATGAAGAGATGGATCGTGATGATGAAGTCATTGTTCGTTGTTTGTTGTTTATTGTGGATGTGCACGTGGTTGTGGATGTGCATGTGCATGTGCATGATTCAGAGCTCGTGTTTCATGTTCATCTGATGTTGGGAGTTAGAAGTTGGGATGTATATGTGTATGTGGATTTACTTGGGTGTGGTGGGTAGGTAGGAATGGTATTTGGATGGTATAGCTTTTAGATGGTATAGCTTTTGGATGGTATAGCTTTTGGATGAATGCATAGATGCATGGACTGGCTTTTCGCATCGACTTCGGTTAGGATGCTACTTTTGAGATTTGGGGATGGGGATGCGAATGGAAGATTCTTAGCCAAGTAGGTGTATATATTGTATGATATTGATGAAAACGGAAGACTTGATCTCTCTCGGCGGGGTGGATATATGATATCAAGTTTGAATAATAATAATAGGTTAATACTGAGGTATATTTCCTTTTGTTGTCTTTTATTTTTATTTTTAGGAATGGCGTGGTGGTATTATTTGGATGGTGAAACGTGATGGATGGATTGGGATGCGATGCGAGGTTTGAGGTTTGGGACTTGGGATTAAGAATTCTGGAGGCTGTGACGTCTTTTTCTCTCTCTCGCGGTTTCTGCGATTGATGTTAAGTATAATGCGGAGAGGGGAAAAATTAGGGTCGTCTGATTATTAGGGCTGTGGTGGTGTTGGATGCACTCTAAGTGGACATACTAGGTATGTCTGGAAAGGAGATGGTATCTTTCGTCATTCGATCGTGCTTGGATTATTAGATGAAATGGGTTTGCGAGGTTAGAGGGAAGAAGGAAGTGTATTTTTTGCTATGGGTGATCATCTGGATGCTATGGTATGGTATGGTATGGTATGATGTCATGTTCTGGGCTTTTTGTACTCTATTGCGAGTAAGAGAGTGAGAAAGTATGTTATGTATTGTGTATTGTCATGACTTCAAGGTGGAGCTGGGACAGAGGGGAAAAGGGGGGGAGAAGTATGCGCAATGGATGGGGACTCGGGAGAGGATGATTGATGAATATGTATGTCTACATGGGTATGGGTATATATATCATGAGGAATTCCTAACTTATAGGAAGTTCATTCTTTCACATCATATCAGATTAACAGCAAAGAATTTTCTTCTCTTCTCCTTCTACTCTTACATATTTTACAAACACAAGATACGAGATATAATATCTCCAAGACAACTTTCTCAATACATTACATTACATCACATCACATCTTTAATCCCTCTTCTCAAAACTTCATCTATATCATAAGTTCCACACCGTCAAACCTATCTCAAAATGTATACCAAAATCTCTCAACTCAAAACCGCTATCGCTATCTTCGCTGCTCTCACCACCGCACTTCCTGCTCCTCTAGACACAAATACAAAAACATCGTCTTGCTCTACCGCCACGGTCGATTCCACGTGTATCGATACTTATAACACCTGCATGACAACCGCATCTGGCGATAATGACGCGATCGCAGCTTGGTAAGTGTGTCCCTTCTTCAACAATGAGGAGAAGAAAAAGAGATCCAAAACTAACAAATCGATAGCGCACTCAACCTGTCCACCTGCACAAACACGGCCACGAAGAGAGATGCGGAGAACCCGGAAAAGAGAGTAGCAACTGTGTGTACAAATGGAGTGTGGGGAAGCGTGGCGTGTGTGGGAGCGTTTGGAATGTGTATGAAGACGGCGGATGGGGCGGGGGAGATTACAAGTTGTGCGTTGGCGTTGAGTGCGTGTGAGGTGGGGGTTAATACGAAGTGAAGGAGAGGGGAGGGGAGGGGAGGAAAGAGATGGAATAGGGGATGGGAGTGGCTGGGAGAAGAGAGGAAAGGAGAGAGGGAAATGCAAAGACGGTTGATATGTATTATTGTGTAATTTATTTGGATTTAATTTGAATTTCAAGGAGATGAATAGCTGTACGAATAATTATATGTATGTATGTATGTATGTATGTATGTATGTATTTAAAGCAATCCATTCATATGTATCCGAGTTTCTACCTCGCCACTCTCGCTACATCACATGAAATATTCGCAAGACTTTACCAAAAATAATTAACTGGAAGCCTGGTTATTACTCCCACCTTTTGCCTCTCACATCCCATACTTACTAAATTCCATATCGAGCAATATCACAAACTCAATAAGGAACCTCGAAATAACTAAAGTAATCAGTGGGATCTCCTCCTTCTGTTAATCCTCCACCGGGAACGTAGATTCTGTTTCCAACGGCTACTGCGGATGTGCCGTGCTAGAGGAGGGAAGTGGATATTAGTAGGTATTGTTATTATGGAATTTGCAGTCGAGAGTTTGCAGAGGATTTGAGTATAACTCGGAAGAAAGATCAGGAGAGTGAAGGGGGAGAGTCCAAAAACGAAGCGAGCAGGGCGGAAAGAAGACCAAAAAAACAAAAAAAAACAAAAAAAAACAAAAACAAAAAAAACAAGAACGAGATTTCTCCAAAATCAATAACAAAAAAGGCGCAAACATACCCTCGGAACATCCATCGGCGCATAGCTCCTCCACTGATCCCTCCTCGTATCATACGCCTCATTCTCCTCAAAAACCCCACTCTCACTCTCCTTATTGCCCTCCCCCCCAATAACAAAAATCCTCTCTCCCACCACCGCGCTCGCCACTCCTCCTCTCGGGGTCAACATCCTCTTCTTCTCACTCCATTCCCCCTGCTGAAAATCATACATATAATTCGTTCCCACCACATTATCATGCCCAAACGCTCTTCCCCCAATAACATAAAACGGCCCATTATCCCCGATAAACCCCCTCCCAGCATGATCTCTCGGCTGCGGGAGCGCAGGAAGTGAAGTCCAACTCTCGAAACCGGCGGTATAAGCTGTGAAATAGGAGACGCTGGGTTGGTACGTTTCGGAGATATTGAGATAGGTGAGGCCGCCGGCGAGATAGATGGTGTTGCCGCGGCGGGCGACAGCTGCAGCGCCGATTTGGAGACCGGAGGGAAAGGAGGTGAAGAGTTGGGTCCAGGTATTGCTGCTGGGATCGTAGCGGTAGCAGGAGCGGTTGGCGAGCCAGATGCCGGTGGAAGAGGGGGTGAGACCGCCGAGGAGATAGATGGCGCCGTTGAGGATGGCGGCGTTGGCGTGGTTGAGGGGGAGGGGAAGATCGGCGGCACGAGACCAGGTTTTGGTGGTGAGGGAGAAACGCTGCATGAGGGTTGTGGTGGGATAGGGATTGGTGCTGGAATTGGAGGGGATGATACCGCCTAGAATGTAGACGTAGGGGTCTAGATACACGGTTGTGTGTTCTTGACGGGGAAAGAGTGGGATGGATGGGAGACGGTGCCAGGATCCTGGGTTACTGGTGAGGTTGGTGTCTGTAGGAGACTGTGGGAGAGCGGTGCTGAGGGTGAAGAGTGCGAGAATGGTGGAGAGTGAAAGGGAGGGGAAAATCATCGTGATGGATTGATGGATGTGTACTGGAGCGTATACCAAAGATGTCCGTCGATTCAAAATCTCAAAAACGAAACCCAGAGATAGACTTGTAAGTCTGTTCCCAAACTATAAGTTTATATACTTTTCAAAATATAAATCAGGAGCAGCGAACTTATAAAGCAAACAAAACTGGCGCTACATTCTAACACAATTCAATTCAACATTCCCGATTGGTCAATTACCGTCCCCTCAACAACCTGCATCCCGTGTAACTAAGTAACGTAATTGATCGACCATTGACCAATCCATTTTTATCCTGCTGTTGAACATATGCAGGTCGCCATATCAAAAACGGTGATACGACTGCGAATCAAGGATCGATGATGCCAAGAGAAGACTCGGTGAAGCTCGTATCGCATTGCATCTGCAAGATATCAATAGTTATCAGATGTGCAACCCAAGATATGCAGAAAGGTTTTAATTATAGTTTTCTCCCCATGCATCGGTAAAGAGTCGCGGCGATAGAACGGCGTATGCGTAATAGCAAACATTCATGTGTTCCCTTGTATATTCATACAATGAACGAATAAAATTGGTTGTATCACTGACCACTTCTAATTATTGAACCTATATTCATCTTCCCAAAGTCATTATATCCACTCAACTCCCTTCCTCTCATCAACTTCCCTCATAAACGCCCCCCTCCCCACCACCCAACTCCTTGAGTCTTAGCACCTCTCCCATCCTTCCTTTCTCCTCTAAATCCTTCCTCGATATCTTACGCTTTGCCGTATATCCGCACTTCTTTCCACCACCAAAAAATGTTTCATCCGGACAACTGTGGCCCCAAAGCTCCAACACGAGTACCCAGACTACCAATCCGGTGACGGTGGAAATGAGGCTGAGGGAATCTAGGGACGAGAGAGGAAGACATATGAGGATTATGCAGACAATGAGACGGTTGAGCAAGCGGTAGCGTTTGGCGAGGCGAATGCCGTGGTGGTCTTTTTTATGGATGTGGCAAGCTGATATTATACCTAGAGGGAAAAGGTCAGTTGAGAGGATGGAGGAATGTGGAGCACCAGTGGGTGCATGGACTAACGGAACACTTCTCGACTCTCGAAATTTCTTGATATCAGAATCTATCTTTTAATTGTTTAATCTCTCATGAGACATTGTAACAATTCCCAAGATATGCGAATCAATGTGTCAATAGATATTTCCAGGCCGAATTTTGCAGTTTCCTGCCAGTCCATACACCACCGGTAGAGAGAGTGGAAGGGAGTTTATACCCATACAAAAGAGTGCAACCCCGAAACCAGCACAATAAAACCAACGCAACCCATGAGAAATTTCAGATTCGGATTTCTCCTGGTATGCTTCCGTCAGACTCTCGAGAGAAGTATCACCACAATCTCTCGCAACAACGAGTCTAGAAAGTGCAGCACCACCTAGAACATAACTCATAATAAAAGGTAAATGTGCAAAACTCCAGATGATAGAAGCCTTTGCATGCCGTCGAATAGCATGCGTGAATAGATCTGTACCGTCCAAATCAAAATATATCCAGTTAAAAACAAATGCTTGAATGAGACCCAGAACGGCTTTTCCAAAGAATGCATTTAGCCCAAATGACGCTGCGTTTTGGTAGATAATAGCGACAACTGAATAGCCAAAGACCAATGTCACAAAGGCATTTGTTCTTTCAGTTTTATGTTCGATGTTTGTAGCGGGGTAAAATTCAAATACTCGATCAGTCCACTCGGCCAGTCTAGTTGATATGAATTTAGAACCTCGAACGAGGATTACTACACCTACCGTACCGGTTAAATCTATGAGTATGGCAATAGCAATGATGGCGAATCGTTGAGGTAAATCGACGTAAATGCTTCCTATCCAAAGGATACTGGGGACCAGAATAATGATGGCTTGGGCTATCAGCATGCCTCGAACCATGGGTATAAGCCGTGCGAGAAATAAATAATATGAGCCCATGAACAGACGAGCTGTTAAATAGAATGCTACCAGCATTGTGTATGAATTTTCGAAGGCTTCCAACATATTTGTGGTGAGACTGTCCAAGATTAGCATAAATATAAGTGCGCAACTGTCAACGATGATAGCATATAAAACACAGCATCAGATGAATATACGTCTTCACTCACCCAAGTAAGCACGCCATGATAAACAATATTGAGACTCTTTGAGCTATATCATCGGTTTCGAACCAAGAGATAATTAGAGCTAGATCACTCCAAATCTTCCAACTCATGATAAATGTTATGACAAATCTTAGGAGCTCATATCCAGTGGGACTTTCAGCGGCATGATCTCCATTTATAGCGAGAATACCAACGTATAAAAGGTCCACAAAGAGTTCAAATGATGCTACTTCAGTAGTTCCTGATGCTCTCCAGAGTAAACCACGGTGAAAATATTGCCTGACAGTAGGCTGAAATGTCGTTAGTTCGTTAGGATACAACGAGGAAGGAAACAAAATGAGTGAGTGTTCAATGCTCATATCATTGTTAGACTTTACCTTTTTATATAATTTCATAATTTTCCCCTTTCTCTTTTCCGCTGCCCAATCTTTCTTTTCATGATCATCAGGCCCGTGATACAATGAGCTCGCCCGACTGGTATGTTCTGACCCATCATCATAAGTTCTTAAATGCGCACTATACCCATATTTCGAAAAGTTCGCATCCAATGCCACGGAATGATCCGTCAACATATGAAGCTCCGAGCCCAAGACATCTAGTTCTAATTTCACATTTTCGAATTCATCATAAGCGTCACCATGTCTATCTTTTAATGCCTGCCGCTTAGATTCATGATGGCTATGCGCGGTTCGAAGCGCGTCGAGATGTTCAGGAGATCCGTTGATTACGAGATCAAAAGGTTGATCTTTTTCTATGGTGCTGAGACGTCGACGAAGGAGATCGGCTTCTTCTGGAGAAGGCGCTATGTGCACTTTTCGGCCATTGGGAAGCATAAAATTGCGAAGTCGATGACCTCTGTGGTGATGACTGTGGGGAGTGGAAGTCTCAGGCGAAATTGGGGTTGTAGACATCTTCAATGTAGGTATGTGAATTGTATAAAAGATACCTTAGATTCGAGTATCGTATGGTATTTCATACAGATTGATGCTGTCCGGTATTTATGTGGCTGCTGATACCGAGAAGTTGTGGCTTGAAAGGAAGCTGGCCGATAAACACATGGAATCAGAGCGTTCATAGATAGTAAAATATCAAGTACTCAAGCAACGTTATTGATTGTCATCCAAATTCCATACTAACAAAAGCAGAAGATGAGCAGGTCGAAAAATTGACATAAATGACCATCTTTAGCTGATATCAAAACACAGCCATTTAATAAGATGAGAGGAGAGGCAGTAAGCTAGGGGCAAAGGGAAAAAGGACCAAGCGTTTGATCGCCAAGCTTAGTAATCGCATTAGCTTTCAATCCCCTGTTTCCACCATGGGGAAATATCATACGGCGTTGAAAAATTATTAGATGTTATTCTATGAAAGTTATGAAGCTGCTTGTTTGTTGCTCTGAACTCTTTGCCTAGGTATCTGGGATTTCGTTTTAGCTATGTGTGACCAAAAAAAGAACAGAAGAGACTCAAAAGATACGGTTACTTCGGATTAGATGGAATTAGTGTTCGGATCCGGAGTGTTGGGTCAAGTATCAAGAAGAACAGGAAGCGAGGGAACAAGGGAATGGTACCTTCAATCCACTTTGATTGGTCACTTCTGGAAAGGAATATCAGGCCCCTGAGGTCTGAAGAGACGTCCGTTGTTCGTGATGATTGCTGTTCTCACTTCGGGCTGTACTGTCTGCTATTAAGGTTCGTTCAATCAAATGGCCAAGAGAAAAGAGAATGAGATGGTATTGATAAGGAAAATTGCTTGGAAAATGAAGATGACTGGTTTGAATTGTAGTTCGACTGAAAAATAAACCTTAAAAACAAATTAAACTCTATGATTACAATTTACACCCAGCCAGCCGGGTTCTATCCTCACGCCCATCTAATAACCCAAAATTCATGATATCATCTAAAAATTACACAGTTTGCTCTTTCCACAAATGCCTCTCGCCAACATCTCAATACTTCCACTGCTCAACAATTCCAAAACCTGTAGATTGGCCTCAAATTCCCTCGCAATAAAATTCCTCACCTCAATCGCTACCAGAGAATCCAATGCATAGTTTGATAAGCTTCGTGTAACATCCATATCTTCTGCTTCCAACATCAAAACACAAGGTAAAATATGTAATAATCCTCGTGTAACGGCTTCCTGCGCTTCCTCAATTGTGGTGGCGTTCTTAAGTGCGGCATTGAAGGATATATTGGCTGATGGAGAATCGGAGAGAGATGATGAAAGGGCTTCGTGAGCAAGTCGTAGATGTTTAAATTTGGCATCATTGGTCCAAAAAGGTGGTGGAGTGGTGATACGCATTCCCGTTATTGTGTGATTGTTACATGTACTAGCCAAACGACCAGTAATGGCAGCTCCGAGAAGTGCTAATACTTCTGCTTCGCATATAGTGTCACTTCCGAGGTTCTTGCTTACTTCGGCTGCTGCGTCGAGGTTTTCCGCGAGATATCCGGCGTCGGACACGGCGGTAAGATCTAGTGATGAGGCAGACAAGCCTTGAGTGAGTCGATATTGGACAAATGCATTTAGAAATGTATTGGCCGCAGCATATGAAGCCTGACCTCTGTTTCCAACTGCACCGGCAGCAGAAGAAATAGCGACGAAAAAATCCAATGCTTGCGATTTAAGAGCATTGTGAAAGTTCCAAGCACCTTGGACTTTAGATTCAATAACCGAAGTATATTCTTCGTACGTCATTTTTTCAAATAGAACATCCTGCTTCTGTTAGCTAAATTCAAATATAATTAGACGATTGTACTTACTCGTAGGACCATAGCTCCATGGATGACACCTCTGACTTCAGGCATATCTGTAAGCTCATTTGTGACCAAATTATTGACTGCCTCGCTATTCGACACGTCACAACGTCGAATTACAATATTGGCACCAACAGTACTGAGATCATCAACCATCTTTTTAACTTCTCCAGTGACGGAGCCATTTCTTGACACAAGAACAAGATGTTTGGCACCTTTGCTGACCATCCATCTAGCCATACTTCGGCCCAAACCACCAGTTCCTCCAATGAGAATATATGAGGCATCTGAGCGAAGTATCTTGCTTCTTTTATCTGCGGGAGTGGCCTGTGATATTGTTAGTGTTTTTCATGGCAATGTATTTTGGAATAACTAACCTTGACCAAATCATCTGGCCCCGGTGCAATGATCAACTTCCCATCGAATTTTGCTGATTGCAATGTCTTGAACGCTGTCTCAATGTCCGAAATTGAGAAGACTGTGGTGCTGATAGGCTTGATGGAACCCTGAATCAAGAAGCTAGAGATCCGTGAAAGGACAGCGCTCAAAATTCTAGGCCTCTCAGCGCCCAGAGATATTAAGTCAACGGAAGAATAACTTCTGTTGGTTCCGCTTCCAAGTTTTGGATGATTTTCTTGTTTTGCGAGATTGATGAAGCGCCCGAAGTTGCTCAAGCATGAAGATATCTCTTGGAGCGTATCTGCATCTGTTGGAATACAATTCAACACGATGTCAAATCTGCCTCTGTATGTTTGTTGGAGATCTTTCGGCCCGAACGAAGTATTGTGGCTTACGATTATCTCCTTTTCAGAGAGACCATACGTTGATTTGAGTAAATCTTTCTGCTCAATGCTACCAACGGTTACAAAAACCTTAGCACCCATGTTCTGGGTAAGATTAATAGCTGCTTGCCCAAATGCAGTGGATCCTCCATGAATCAAAACAGTATCATCTGAAAGCAATCGTCCGATATCGTTCAAACCATAGTATGCAGTGCAAAATGCCACAGGAATTGATGCACCAACCTCGAATGATATATCGTCATTGATCTTGAAAGCAGAAGATGAATTCAAAAGAGCCCGGCTAGAGTAGACTCCTTGAGATACTGCAATTCCTGAAATACGATCGCCCTTGGCAAAGTTGGTAACACGACTACCTGTCTTTGTAACGATACCACTGCACTCGCAGCCAAAGCCATCATGATCAGTATGCCCTGAAACAGCAGCAAGATCTACTGAATTCATGCCGATTGCTTTAACCTCAATCTCAATCTTGTTATCTTCGTACTCCTCCAGTGATGCATCGATGAAGTGAAGGGTTTCAAAAACACCTGGTACTGAGATGGCCATCTTCAATGGTCGATCTTCCTGTCCAAATCGTGTCAATTCCAAAGCAGAATCTTTTGTTTGTTTGTGAACATATTCGTTCATTTCTGAGTCATTGATGATACGTGGTGTGAGAAATACCCCCTTTTTCTCCATGAATTCCAATTCGCAGCTTGCGTCAGCTTCTGGATCGAAAACACTCTTGAAGACTTTGAGAATAGCGTCGGTCGTGTTCTCATCAGAAATAGCACTCTCTGGATCTAAGTCTAAGGTTGAAAATTTGAGCATTGTCTCGGAACGAATACTTCTGCTTAAACCAGTGACCATATTGGTCGTAGGATTAGATGAATCACCATATGCTCCTTTGATCACCCAGAGTACTCCACGAGATCCAATCAATGCTTTTTGTAACGCAAGGAATTGGGAACATGTGAGTGTTGACAACAATGGTTTATCAAGCTCCGAAATGACAAGGCAGAGCTTTTCGGTTGTTTCAACCTGAGATAGACTACCCATCTCAGGTCTTTTCCCTGTCAAATGCTCTAGAGACTCGGCCAATCTGGTTGAGAGGGCTATTTGTTCATCCGAACTCTCATGGATAATGACGATGCCTTCGGATGAATAATCGTGGGTTTTTACTTCATTCGTTGTACCATTCACTGATCCATTGGACGCCTCTGATAGCCCATTTGAGGCACCATTTTGTTCAGTAGAGATTGACTCAAATGCAGGCTCCCAATCCAGTTTGTAACAAAGCTCCCTGTGCATTTCATTCTCTGAGTTTGAACTTGTTTCTACGATTGGCGAAACTGTTAAATCGCGAATTGTAATCAGTGGAGCTTCTGATAGATCATTTTCCACGGCAAACATTGAGACATTGGTGGGCTTGGGGTAACCAGATGGAAAGGTACCCTCACAGAAGGCCCGAAGAGATGTACCCGGACTTCTCATGAGTTTGGTTATTTCTCGGGAAACAGTGATTTGTCCAACAGATGAAGGCAAATAGACGGTATCCAGTGAAGTCTTTCCGGCGTCGATGATTGGCCAATACATCTCGATGACTTGCTCTAGTAATGCTGGATGAATTATCATATCTTCTTGATGCTCCTTTGGCATTTCTTGCTTGGTGTCCGGAACCACGACATGTGCCATGGAGGCGTCTTCACAAGCGAAGCAATCATTCATACCTTGGAAACTCGATCCATATGAAACACCAATATTTGAAAGCGAATCGTATAATTCGGATTTGTTGATGGTGCTTGTTGCTGCTTCAGTAATCTTTCTGATGCTTGATTTCATCTCATGTCCAAGATCGTGATTGCCTAGTCTAGTGGCTACTATCCCCTGGCAATGCAAGGTCCATCCTTTATTAGCAGCCCACGAATGAACTTTGAACTCGTCCCAAATATCAGAAGCGCAACTTTCTGGTGTACGGGAACGTAGCTGAAGAGTAATTTCGACAGGTTCTTCAGTAAGCATAAGGGGCTTGGTGACCGAGACATTGCGAAGCTCGAAGTTGTCGTACTGAATATTATTAGATGCTGCTTTCTGCGATGCCGCTTCGATTGCTATCTCAATGAAAGCAGACATAGGAAAAAGTGTTAGGGATTGAATTTTATGGTGTCGAAGCCATGGAACATCATCGATTCGAAGGATATTTCTCCAAGTTGGCTCCAAATCATTCGAGTAATTGGCCAGGGTACCTAGGAGATCATGACGTTGAGCTGTGCGACTCTTGTGTTTCTGAGTCAAGCGTGGTTCATGCCAGTATTTTGTTGTGTGGTTCCAGGGATATCGAGGCATGTCGATCAGTAATGAAGGAGGATT